GCACTCCCTTCTCCAACATTTCCCACAGCAACAACCTTGGGTGTAGGTTGGGGTGAGAGGGAGGGCCACCCTAAGAGTTTCTATGGCTATGGGTAGACTTGAACCTGGTCTTAACGCCTGCATCACACTGGCTCTCATATCTCTCTTACATACAGACACCATTTAAACACGATTTCATTAATGAGGGTTAACACCATCAATCAGCAACTGAATCTGCTCCTAACAGAATAACCATTATTTCCAGTGGAATTGCCAGTCCTGTTTTCTTTCATTTTCTATACCTGAACCTTCTGCACTGTATGATGTGTTTCCTTGAAGTCAGTGTAGTGATGGCAGAAGGTTGTCACGGAAGAATTGGATAGAGGTGTCTACCTCTTCCCCTTAGATGCATGGTACCTAGAACTTTAGATTGCTATGTAATGGCTGAGTATATAATACCCAATTAAGAAAGCATTTATTTTACTCACTAAAGAGTTATACTTTGTTTTGTCCTGTCTTGGTATGGGACACCTGTCTATAGTAAGGTGATCTTTCTCATCTTCAGTCTAAAACCTTGTGATGGTCTCATTGCCACCTGGTATAAACAAATACTCCTTAACCTTGGGATGCTCTACCCTTGGCAGGAATAGGCAGAGCGGTCCACAAACAAGATATGATAAACTTGTCATCCTTGTCCTTGGCAAAATCAAATGAAATGAGGCCACTGAAAGCAATTGCAATTAATTATGATGTGGAGCCTATATAAGCTAGTCAGAAGCCCCCATAAGAGACAACTTCTGTGTAGACCCAACCAAGAATGTGTTGTATATTAGCTAGCTTTGGAGTGGGTCCACCCACTATCATCTTTGTGGAGTTCCCTGACTGACAAAAGGGCATAGGTCTTTCTTTTATTCTTCAGTATAGTTAAATACCCTTTGTTGTGTTAGGTTCCTTAGTATTCTTGTATATTCTTTGTTGTCTTATGTTATTGTGATACTTTCTCATAGTGTCTTGGAATAAAGCCTTAAGCATGCGTACTGGTGCTTTATTTTAAAGTACTTTTATAAATATACTAATTTAGAAAATCTCCAGAATCCAAATAATTCTTCCCTAATATCTGCAACACATTGTCAAACAAAGCTTGATGAGAATGTCTTCGAAAAGTATGTATTTATTGAAAAAGTAAACAGAATTATAACACTCTAAGCCCTTCTTGGAATAAGAAAGATTTTGCTTAGCACTGCATTACTTCTAAGTAAAACCCATCACCTTCTTTCTCCATAGATGAGATTACTTCCTTAGAGAGACATTAGGCTTCCCTCAGAGAGGAAGCTGTGGCCTCACCTCTTGACCTACATACTAAAATTCCCTCTACTTCATCAGGTTGAAAAATGTGAGCATTAGTTTAAACATGTATTTATTTTAAGCTCTTTCATACAAATTGAAAATGTATAAAATTAACTGTAAAACACTTTCTTCTTAAAAAGCCTAGATTTGTATACTAAGTCTATGGACTTTTTTTTCCATTTTGTTTTCATCATGGGACACAGCTCTCCTTCACAGAAATATTCATAGAAGAGACCTAAACTAGCCTTCCAAATCACTAACAAGACTCTCTACTCTCACAAAGCATAAAGAAGCAACAGTTTTAGTAGGTTCAGCTAGGTTCAGACCAAGCTATATGTCATTCTAGATGAGCAACTGTAGATGAAAATAGCAGTCCAATTTATAATTCTCTCAGTAACACATATAACAGTCTTCCTCGACTCAGATTCTCCAGAACTTTTAAGAAGTTGCATTCACAACATATCTGAAGTACATCAGGTTAGGAAATAGTGATCTAGAGCTCTTTGGCTTCCAACTTTCCATGACAGTTCTGAGCATTCAACTACTTTCACCCTATCCACAGCATTACTGATGTGGAATGGAAGGCAAAATGTGATGTCACAATATAAAGAGAGGAAAAAACAAATGAACAAAGCATGGGTTCAGTTTTCAGTCACAATCACACATTTATCTCCAGCCTTCCAAAGGAATCTATGCATAAATTAATACAATTACAAAATGTGCTGGTTACAATTGAGGAGCAGTCAATCACAAGAATAACAATAAGTCCTTATAAACTATATATACTGTGACAACTTAAAATCCTGTCTGACAGAGAAATCACCTTCATTTTGAACACTGAGTTTATTTAAAATACCAAAATAAATCACCACCATGATAAATGTATAATCTCTCTGGTTTTCCAAAGTCTGCAACCATATTGCATCTGAAGAGCAAATCACACAAACTTGTGGAAGCCATTATTTAAACAAAAACAAACCAAAAAAAAAAATCCTTCATGAGCATATTACGCTCAGGGCATACAGTCCAACACAGTTTCAAGCATACTTCTGTCACAATGTTGATGCTTCAGCAGACTGAATTATACCCAGAGTTGATCATTATATTGATTATTTTTCATTTTCTATTAAAAAGGATACTAATGGTTTCATTTTGTCTGCTCATCGATGTTTTAAGTCACTTGAACAAGTTGTTTTCATGTTACTGTTGCACAAATGCTTCAAAACATACAACCCCCCCCAACCATGGAATATTAGCTCTTTGGACAATCATTTAATGGGCAACATCCAGTATTAAGCAGATGCTTTTGTTTGCATAACAAAACTCCCCGTTATCTCTTCCGTACACCTTCATCTCACCCATGAATTCTCCGGAGGATAAGGTGAGGTAGAAATGTTTTCATATTTTTTTAAAGAGAGAGTAATAGCATATGTAAACTCAACATTTTTTAAAACCAATACTTAATTCTGACAGCCACATTAAATACAGGATCAATGGGGAATCCTGTATTCTTCTATTTTTTTAAAAAAAAATGAATGTGCATATCTTTTTCTGTAAAACCTTTATTCTTTTGCTTTTCCTTGGACAGAAAAGACAAGATTGACATTAACATTTAACAGCTATTCTTCCTGGAAGAAAAAAATATTGAGGCATGTAATCCTCTATTGTAGCAAAACCTGAAACATGCCATATTGTGATGACTATTTTGTTCTTTGATCACTCTGAATCTCGAGTGCAGAAGATCTGAATCTACATTTCACATGGTACATTATTTCTATTTATATCTGTTTTGTTAGACATAAGATGTCTAACCACTATTATATTATATTATATTATATTATATTATATTATATTATATTATATTATACATAAGATGCAGCCACATAAATGTTCTTAAAATATACCTTGTTGCAATTTTGACTGTCTCCAAGAAACCATAATTGTATACTTAGGTTCCAACATCATAAATCAAATGATTTTGTAACTGAGCAATCTGCAACATGCCATGATAATCTTCTGATCTAACTCAAAAGTTACATAGAATATACACAACCCCATGCTTCTGCTGAAGCACCTTTCTCAATAATGAACAAAGTTAATACGGCATGATGCATCCATTTCCAAATCAATATAGACTATTTTATAGTTAAAAAGAAGCAAGAATTATGAAAGCTTCATTTAAAAAATCCAATGATTATAAGTAATTAAAATTTCTGAACTTTCAGGAGAGGCATGGCAAACAAGACAGCTCTGTGAAATTGGAGCTGACAACTGCAACAAAGACCAAGGAATCAATGAGTAGGCCACTTCCTTGGAATCCCCCCAGATAAGGAAAGGACAGGAGATTGTCTACATGCACTCCAGACAGCTGATCCTTGCAAGAAGACCACAGGACAATGGTTTTCCACTGGTTTGAGCACCGGGAGACAATGGGATCAGCTACCTTGCCTGCAACTGTGCAGAGACTTTTAAAGGATACTAAGTTCGCAAACTTCACTTTCTAATCACTTTCAGAAATTACCTATTAACTACCTTAAAGCTATTAGAGACCTTTGGAACAACAAGTTTGAAAAGTTTTCATCAGGTGAGTTTATCTTCAACTCTGAACAAAAGAAAAATTAATTATAAGCTTAAGAACTTAAACATTTGAAATAAACAGCAAAAAGCTAAAATAAGATTTTGATCTAAGAAAGTTATAAACAGATGAAGGGTCCAGATAAATATGGAACACTGACTTTTACTAAGATTTTGGAATTAATTATAAAGAATAAACAGCTTCTCATGGGAAATAGATTTGTTTTGTTTATTGTAAGATATAATAAAGACAAATAATTTTATGACTTTAGAAACTGGACACTAGAGGGGACTAAAGCTCTTAAGCAGAGGAAAAAAATACAAGCTCATTTTTATTTACTGGGACTTACAAAATGATGCAAAACACTATAACATGGAAAATATTAAAAGAGACTTTTGAAGAATGGAGCCAGAAATTAGTAGCCACAATATCATCAGGGTCAGTATATGTCTGCTTCTATAGACAGACTACGTCCAACAGATATTATTGAAGAAATGACAGATCTGGACAAGATAGAGATGGTACCAAAAGTGGATTTAAAATGAAAGTCCACAAGAACAACTTGGAAAAGGAGGTTTTATTGGATATACAAAAGAAACTGGCTGATGTTTTAAAAATCAAAAGGGAAATGCAAATGACAAACCAAGAGAGTGACCTGGATTATTTTTTCTTACTGGATTTACAAAAGAGGCATGTTAAAGCCTTGAAGAAATGTGCACGATGGGAAAAAAAGAATTGGAGAAATCAAATCCTACGACAGTATTTGAATGAACTAACGATTAAGACTGTTAGAAGTAAAAGGAAGGAATATAAAGTTGGTTTATTTGATTGAGATTAAAATAAGATATGCTGTTACAAAGCTGGCAACCCCTTTTAGACTTTTTGCTGATGCCTGAACTCAAAAGTTGATGCTTTATGGATTTATCTATAGATAAGGGATGGGATATGGGGTGAAGAAATATTTGTAACTTTATAGGGGGTGGAGAGTCACTAAATTTATTTATACTTGTGATGAAGTTTGGTTATATATTTCTTTTCTCTTTATTACATTCTCACTTTTCTCTTTCTTTTTTTCTTGTACTTTCTATTCTTTCCTCCTATTCTCTTCCCTTTCTTTAAGTTTAGTTTGCATTAATTTTATTATTATAATTAATTTTTTAATAAAATTATATAAAAAAGAAGTAATTAAAAGTTCCAAGTACTCTGAATGCTTTAACAAATAGCCTCACATTCACTGCATACATCTTCCCTTTCAGTAAAACAATTTCTGTAAAGAACTAATTGCCTTTTGAAGAAACTTACCTTGCCTTTTTGATTTACAGGTTCAATAGTTAAACTGTCAGGTCCAATATCCACAATGCTTCCCATCTGAAACCCATCATTTGGGTGTGGAGCCCAAACAGGCTTCCCATCCTCCATTTTGAGGAACTATTTCCTACAAAGAAAAGAAATATTTGTAACTGAAAAGCAATGTGTGAAAACATCTCTACCAAGTTTAGCTTGGTAGACACAATGAAAATATCTCAAGGGGGAAAACTGAAGGCTAAGCATTTTGAGGAGCACCCATTTACTCCACTCCTTTTCCATAGAATTTTCATCCTAATCCCCTCCCCAATAATTGATGAGCAGTTATATTAACAAAGACAATGATTTCTATCTAGAAAGAAATGCAGTGCCCTAAAATGAGAAACAGGATGATACACAATGGAATGAATGGGGGCTATTACAGCAACATACTCAGCAGTGGGCCAATCAATGCCAACACCATACTTGCTAAGAAAGAAGAAAAATATGGAGTCTGTATGGACAAAACTAGGAATACTTGGTCGAGAGAATTCTAAAAAGTATCCACAAGAGTTGAATAAAGTAAAATGAACTCATTTTAAACCCACCCACATCCCCCCACTACACATTTACAAAGCACTAACATGTTATTGAGCTGAAATTCATCAGCAATCTTCCATTAATGGATAATGAATTGCAGATCCAAGGAGCAAGCCAAGATTCCTTTATGCTGAGATAAAACTAATCAATCATTCCAATGAGAAACTTGTGCTAGAAGAAGATTCCCACTCCCACCCCCGAAAAACAGTAATGTTCTACATAATATATATTTTACTACAAATAATAGAGCTATTTATTTATTTATTATACCCCACTGCAATCCCAAAGGGCTCCCAGCAGTTCAGAGATAAAATACTCAATTACAATTAAAATGTCCAGTCAGGTGTGGACTTCAACGGCTGGCTGGGAAATTCTAGGAGTTGAAGTCCATCCATCTTAAAGTTCCCAAGGTTGAGAAACACTGGATTAAAGTAAAAACATAAAATACAGAAATATATAAACACAAACCCCAAGAAGGACCAATCAATAAACTTTAGCCAAACTGGTATCACAACCCAAATGCCCTCCAGAAGAGCTCCATTTTGAGCTGCTTCCAGAAGGAAATTGAAATGGGAGACAACCTTATTTCCACTGGGAGGCCATTCTAATCAGAAGAAGTGCCTCTGAGACTCAGCTCCCCTCACCTCCCTAAAGTAGAGAACCACTACCTTATCTCGGCTAGATTGAATTGGTCCAACTGATTCTAATGGTGAAATGTGTCCTCCAGACAGCCTGGCACCAAGCTATAAAGGGCTTTATAGGCCAGCAACAGCACTTTAATGTGCATCTGGAAACCTAATGGCAATCGATGCAGTGCCTGCAGCACAAGTGACATGTGCTCTCATTGGCAAATATTGGTTCACATGGGCCACTGCACTCTGATCTGCAGCTTCTGGGTGGACTTTAAAGGAAGCTCCACATATGGTGCATTGCAATAATCTAGACCAATAATGAAAAGAGCTGTAGCAAGATCTGCACACTCAAGTTGGGCTACAACAGACCCAACAGCCACTGCCTCTACCTACTATTTCTCCAGGAGGTACGAGGAAGGAGGACCCAAGTCACGGACATGCTCCTTCAGGGGTAATGCTACCCCATCAAGAGACATCACTGGAGCAGACAGAGAACCCTGATGGGCAAACAGGTTGTCTCTGATTTAACAGCAGATTGCTTTCACATCCACTGATTTGGGGGATTCTTATACTTCTAGTTTTGGACAGTCAAAAAAAGAAGACTCCAATATATAAGGCCAAACTAAAACAAGTTTAGAAAATTCAGTTCTAAAAAGTGCTATTCCCAATCACATATATTTCCTTTAGCACAAATACTGAACTCTAAATCTAATGTACTTCTTATATGCAGAACTATTATTTATTTATCATACTTGTAACCCACTCACTTTCGATAAAACCAGCCTGAAGTGATTAACTGCTTAGAATAAAAGATGAAGCAAGGGAATAAACCTAGCATTTTATTTAAACAATATTCTAGAAGTGTTAAATAATGCATTGCATTATATCGTGTCATATATACTATGGGTCAATATTACAGTTCTTAATATTACAGACCTTCTTACTGGGCTAAAGTAGAAGGGGGAATTTGCCAAAATTGGGATTCTGCTCAAGAGTTATTGGATCTCTGTACCTAACTTTAGGCAATTCTTCTTTTTACTGAGCTAAAGTAGAAGAAGGGGAAAGAAACACAATCAGAACTGCTTGGTACCAGCCCAATCTTCAGTCCCTAAGGTTCACCAAAAATCAAATAATTCCACATCTACCTGTCTCAAAGATTTTATTTCAGCAATTTGGCCAGAGCCCCCAAAACAAGTCCAGGTGGACTAAGTTGAACTCAATCTATGGCTGTACAAAGTGAAACTAAGCCCTTCCCAATTAACCAGTGCTAAACCAGGATACTTCATGGGGATTTGGGACATCAGAAAAATACTTTTGCAAAAACTGTTACATTTTTTCATTTCTCAAAAGAAAAAAAATGGTTGGGGGAAAGGGAAGGGAGAGAGATAGAGCCATGTGTACAAGACAATGGCTCCCCATACGTAGCCAATATCAGAATTCATCACAGTCAACTAGGTAACTGTTGCTGTCTTCATTTCACCATTATACGGAGCTTAATGGAGCACTAAGGATGATGGTAGCCCTCCATCATTCTCCCAATAGCACCATTTTTCCCAGTCTAATCCTCTGGTTCAGTGAATTCTCCAACCACAGTATCTAGGGAACCTTTTGCTTTAAAGCTCCCTTCAAGCTATCTAAGCTTTAAGGTTATGATCAGTACAACTGTGGCTGCAAATGACATACAGTGTGTTCGGAAAGTATTCAGACCCCCTTCACTTTTTTCAATTTTGTTATGTTGCAGCCTGATACTACAATCGTTCAAAT